CGCCCCCCGAGAGCCCGGCGGCCGAGCGCGGCGCGGAGCTGGGCGCCGACGAGGAGCAGCCCGTCCCGTACCCGGCGCTGGCGGCCACCGTCTTCTTCTGCCTCGGGCAGACCACGCGGCCGCGCAGCTGGTGTCTCCGGCTGGTTTGTAACCCATATCCTTCCAGGGCAGCCGGGCTGCAAGGCGTGGGGTCCGGAGCGCGGGACCTCCTCTGTGTGGCCCCTGCGAGGCCGGAGCGGGCTGGGCGCACGGGCAGCGCAGGGCACGGGAGTGGGGGCACCAGGGGCGTCCCCGCGTGCCCGAATGGAGTGTCCCCGGTCCAGAGTCCGTCCGGGATGGGAGAGGGTGGGAGAGGAGCGGGGTCGGCGGGGCGGGAAGTCGGAACTCCCAGGGCTCCCGTGGGTGGCGGCCAGGAGGGGAAGGCCGCCCCCGGGGCCGACAGAATGTCCATCAGAGGCGGGACCCTTGCCGGGGAAGAGGAGGGGGAGGCCGGAAGGAAGTAGAGTAAGGGGAGCAAAGTTGCCAGCCTGTGCTTTGCGCCTCCGAGCGTCGCGGGAGATCGACCGGTGGGGCCGGAGGCGGTGCGCGGTGGCCGGCCCTTTTCCAGGGAGAGATGCCGTGACGTTGGTTGTGAACTCGCCTCTCCAGGCTGAACTCGGTGCTGGGGCTGATTTAAGTCATGCGCAGCTGGGGGTGGGGGGCAGGGACGCAGCTGGCTCTGCACTGTGGAGTCCCTTCTTCTAGTGCTTTCCCTGGGAAGGGGCCCCTTTTCTGTTCTCGGCCAGAGTGGCAGAGAAGGTTCTAGACTGGCGGGTCGGCCGGGGCACTTCTGGGATGCAGATAGCTGGTCTGGTGGTCCCCCAGCAGATGGCCTTTGGGGACTGTCTCAGTGGGGTCCTGTCCATCCTGAACGTTGGCTCTTACTGGTGGGAAGTGGTTTCCAGGTGGCCGGGCTGTGGGCGCCCTGCCTTCCTGCCCTTCCACAGGGAGACACTGGGCAGACAGGGTCCGTGGAGTGGGGGACAGGGCCGAGGCCAGGAGGCTGACGGAGGTGGGGACCAGCCTGTAAACTTTGTCTGTCAGAATCGAGACCGAGGTGAAAATGAGCAATGTGTGTGTATATTTTTTCTACCTTGTGTGTTTAACTGTGTAAATATTAAACGTGAGAGAAGAATCTGTACCGAAGAAAAGTAATAAAACCCGTGCTCCTCTTTTCCGAAATCTAAACATCGGCTGAGTCCAGTTTACCTTCTGGTTGTCAAGAAGGTCATCATGGTCCAGAGCCGGCCTCAGGCATGGCGGCAGGCTTCAGAGCCTGCCTGTGTCCTGCACCCGTGATGGCCTTCGGGGGGCACCCTCCCCCCCCTCCCCCCCAGACATCAGGCTTGTCTTCCTGCATAGCAGCCGGCCTGGCCTCCTCTCTGGGACTCTGACCTGGAGATGGCCGGGTCACCTCACTTTGCCGGGAGTGGTGGGTGTGGTGGCAGGTTGTGCCCCGAGGCCCTGGTTTGGGACAGGACCGGAGTCCGGCTTCTCCAAGCTCGTGCAGAGACCAGCTAGGGAAAGAGGCTGTGAGGCCTGCACTTTGTCTCTTCTGACAGCCCCCATGCCTGGCTGCGGTGTTCTCTGGAGGCTGACCCCGGGGGTGCTGGGTGTCCCGGGCCTTCAAGGCAGGCTGTGTCCCTGAGGGCGTCTGACAAGGTTGTTTGTGTTATTGGGCGCAGGGAAGGTGCGGCGGGGAGCCGTGCGCAGGTGGGCTGCAGCCCAGAGGGCCGTGGGGGCTGGGACTGGCATGGCTGGGTTAGTGTCCTTGTGTGTGTGCTCCCCGTGACCACGCTGGAGGGGGAGGGTTTGTCAGCGGGGGAGCTCACTGTCTCCTCCAACTGTGGGGGGGGGGGGTCAGGGGCTCAGATCCTGGGATCATTTTACCTCTGTGCAAATTCTGCATGTGTCACGCGGGGTGGGCACGTCATGGCCTTTGGTCTCAGGGGGACGGCCGCTGACCTCCAGCAGATACAGGGCCGTGTCTTGGGGGCGTGCGTCAGCCCTGGGGGGCACTCAGAGTAAGCTGGAGCCCTTGGACGCCGGGGGGGGGGGCTCGGTTCTCTCCAAGGGTCTGCGAGGCCTCAGCACGGCTGCCCAGAGCACTTGAGATTCCCTGGGTCAGCAGGGCCGGCCCTGGCCGGACAGTGGGGCGTCCTGTAGCCACGGGGCACTTCCGCCGCCTCCGGCTGCTTCCCTCCCCATCCTGGGGAGCCTCTCACGCTGCAGAGGACAAAGTCAAAGGGAAACGGGGTAATTGGGTTTGCTCTGGGAACCCACACTCCGTGCAGCAGCTTCTTGCTTTCCAGACGCTGGCAGAATCCCAGCTGACGTCCGTGGAGCCCGGGCCGAGCCCGGATCCCGTCAGCGAGTGGAATGCAGGAAGGGGTCTTCCTTAAGCCCCCCGACCTTTTGGGAGCGCTAAGTGGATGACTCCGGCACAAACGACCGCGCCTGGTCTGCTTTTGCCTCGAGGGGGCCTCCGACGCAGAGCGAGGGAGCCTGCAGGGCAGCCCGTGCCCTCATCGATTTACTTTGCGTTTCGAAAATACAACCGTGCTGGAACTTTTGGGGCAAGTGCTGTCTCTCCTACACAGGTTTATTTATAGAGGGAGGTGGGTGGGATCTGTGTGTTGTAGCCCGCGTGGCTGGGTTATGTTCTGCCCGGGCTCCCCCAGGGTTCCTGACTCCGCCGCGCCTGCGACGCGCGACGCAGCTGCTGCGGTCCCAGCACCCAGGCCAGGCGGGGCCTCCGGGGACGCTCACCGGTTGGGAAGGGGGCCCCCCCGGGGAGGCCAGCTGCAGCCCGGCAAAGGTGTCGAGGGAGTAGGCTGTGGTCGAGGAGGCACTTGGGGGCTCAGGGGCGGCGTGCACCTCCAGGAGCCGCTTCCCAGGGGCCGGGGGCCAAACACACCTCGGCACAGAGCTCGGAGAAGCCAGAGGGACGCGTCAAGGTCACACGGCTGCTGGAGGGCAGAGCTGGGTGAGCCCTGTGTGACTCACAGGTCCCAGCGTTTGGCAGGGGCGTGAGGCTGGTCAAGTCCAGCGTTTTGAAGGTGTCTGCCGAACCCCGTGCTTCAGGCTGTTAAACCGCCACCCGCGCCTGGGGCTTATGGTGGGTGTGGGTGTCCTGGCCAGGACACTTGGGGCGTTGATGCGGGGCAGCCCCCGCCTCCGTCCCTCAGCCCGCTGTGTCCCCACCAACCTGACGGGAACAGGACAGGTGCACCTTCCTGAGCTTGTGGCTGTGATCCCCTGAGCCCTTTGTCTTACGCACACACGGGGCTTCCTGCGTGCGCTGTGGGGATGCAGGCCTGGGGTGCCTCTTCCTAGCTCCTTCTCATCCCAGCGCGCTGTTCCTGGATTCGGGCCCTCGTCTGGCACCAGTGTGTCTGTTTCCCTGGACTTGGTGTCCCTAGGCCGGCTCTTCCAGGGGAACGGGCGTCTTCCCAGAGGCCGGGAGGGGCTCTCGCGCAGGCACTAAACCCACCTGGGGGGGGGGGGGGGCAGATGGGAAGGCCATCCTGGCCCGGGTAGAATTAGGGGATACGAAACAGAAATGGTGTGCGCAGTGTGGGGGACTCGCCCCTCTGGGCCGGCCGGGGTGTAGCGTATCTGCCCCAGGCCCACAGTCACCAGCCTGCAGGCCAGGTCCCTGCGGCCCTGAGGCTGAAGCTCACGGCTCCTGAAGAAGGAGGTCCCGAGGGCATACGTTCATGCCGAGCATCTGGGGCTGGGCGGAGGGGATCAGATGCAGAGACCCCTGCCCTCCCCCAGCTGAGACAGGGGTATCGTGGTGGGGGCTTCACGGGGAGGTGTTGTTGTCCCCGAGACCTGAGAGGGCAGCGGTGGAGAGGCGGATCTCGGAGTACTCGCCAGAGGCAGGGCCGGGGGTGTCATGTTCTTAGTGTGGCTGCTCCTGGAGGGTTTGAGGGGGAGGGCTCTGAACGCTGACCTGAGCTCCCGTTTCTCCTAAGTGAGAGCTGGGCCGTGAGGTGTCACCTCCCTGGGTTCTGTGGGTTGCTAAGGAGGGCTTCTTGGAGGAAGTGAGGTTGGCTTGGGCTGTGTGGATGGGTAGGAGCTGGTGGTAGAGAAAGAAAAGGAAGGTTTTTATGGGTTTCTGGTTCCCACAGGAAAGCAGCCTCTGAGGGGGGGCAGGCCTTGGAAGGAGAATTAGCATGAGTTGAGTTTTGTCCGCCTTCGAGGGACCAGGCCGTGTCCCCATTGCTTTTGGTGCCCTGGGACTGCCCAGAAAGGGATTCGGCCGAGAGCTTGTTTTCTCTGCAGTGGCCTAGACTTCAGGCTTGTCCAGGGCCCGCACCTCAGCCCTGACGGGGTTTTGAGCTGGGGCAGCATTTGGTGTTGGTGGAGCTCACTGGGGGCCTGATTCGTTGGTGGAGGCCAGGAAGCACAGAGTCAGTGCTGGGTGCGTGTGTCACGGTGAGACCAGGTGTAGCCATTAGCCATTCTGCAGCTGAGTGTGGCTGTGCTGATCTCAGTGAAGGTGTTGGGGTGGGTGGGCCAGGTGGAGGCTGTTGGGGCCTGGGGGTCGGGGGCACTCTAGAAGCTTAGTGGACAGGGACTTGAGTGGGAGGACGTGGACAGGAACGTCCTTGGCTGGGAGCAAATGGCACAAGCAAAGGTCCTGAGGCAGGTGGAACGTATCCCTGAAGCTTGGAGCTGTTGGGGGTTTGCGGGGAGGCCCAGGTAAGGAGAGGCAGGAGGCCAAGGCTAGGAAAGCCTTGTGGGCATGGCAGGCAGGATGGCGGGCTGGCCTGGGTCTCAGGGAACGGCTCTGCCTCCAGCTGGCCTTGGGGCTTCTTTCTCAAGGTTGGGGCAGTGTGGAGACCGGGCTGGGGGAGATGGTGGTGAGGTAGGGAGACAAGAGCAGGCACAGAGCGCCCTGGGGGCAGAGGCCTGGAGGCGGGACCGAGGTGAGGGCGTAGCCGGCGCCAGCACCCAGACCGAGCCCTTGGACTGTGTGGGAGTCGCATTCGGACCCCCCCAAATCTGGTCTGGCCGAGGGAGGCTTTGGGCGCCCTCCCTGGCATGGTGGAGCCCTCGGGGTGGTCCAGGGTTGCTCCCCGCGCCTGCCGGTGGTGCGGCAGGCCA